GGACCCCCCCCCCCAACCCCAACCACAGCTGGGACACCCCACACCAACCCCAACCACAGCTGGGACACCCCACACCACCAAATCCTGCAGTGACCTGTTCCAAACCCACTCTGCACTTATGTTCCTGTTCTGTGTGACCTCACACCAATCATTCCAGTGTGAGGAGCTCTAGTTTACTGCTTTGCTCTGAGGGTGTATTTTGGTGTGTCACTTCCATAATGCCCTAGCAGTTTCCAAGCAGAAAAGAGCTCCTAACAGGCTGGTGAGGACACCACCAGGGAGTTCATTCAGGGTGCTGAGCTTGGAGGAGAAAGCAAAAAAACAGCTCTTTGTGCTTCAAACTGATCTCACCTCAATCAGCAGCTCCTCATGCTCCTCATTGTCTGAGTCATATGGGACTTTCCTCAGGTTTTCCACCTCCCGATACAGTTTCTTATAGCCTGATATCTGCATCAGGGACATGTGCAGGATACTCTTAAACCTGAAATAACAACAGAGCACCACACAGAAGCTATTAGAGAGGCCTGGTGAGCCACAAACTCTTGCTTGACCTACCAGGTAAGACCTTTCTGACGTTAATGCACTGTCAACACTAGAGTCAGGAGCTGCTTTATGTTTCCCTCCCAAACTGCAGTATATTGGTTAAGTGCATTGACATGTGGATCTTGTGTGCTGAAAAAGTCTGTAGCTAATTCCAGTCAGACTCTATTCGCTTAAATTATGGAAGGAAAAAACAACTTAGCCAAAATCTGTTACAACACAAGAAAGCTCCATACATCATCCTAACCCCTGTGCCTTCACTGCCCCCAAACCTCCTGCAAGTCTCAAAGTCCAACTTTGTCCGAAATACTTGTGGCTTCCAAGAAGCATTTCATTAGCTCTAGAATTCTGACTGTTCATCATTTTCCCTCGCATTGGCCAATTACCTATGCAGATAACACAACCACCACTGTACTCTGTAGCAGTGACAGTCCTTGTGAGCAACCCATGCAGTAATGGCACTGGAGATCAGGAGCAGCAGAGGGACTTGAACAACAGAGATGCAGCAATCCCAAATCCCTGTCAATTAAAACTCTGCAGTTTATTTTCCTGCAGCGATGAGGACACAACCACACCTTGTTCTCTAATTTCACTACAAACACTTGTGTTGAATGGCTCGAATATTGCATCAGATTAAGCCACTGCATGAAGGTGCTAAGCAGTGAGAATCATCTGCCATGAAGAGCTTGTGGTTGGTTCCCAAACATACCCCGTGTTGCTCTGCTCGATTCTCTTTGCTTTCATTACATCTCTGACACACTTCTCCACTTCAGCCTCTTCAACATGTACAGCATTCCTTAAAACCTGTGAAGTTAACACAGTGAAGGACGGGATGAGAAATGCAGAATCAATTACTCTGTCCTTATTTCTCACCTTCTGTACCCCTGCCATGTGTGTATTACTTACTGCAGAAGAATAGTCAACGTGCTGCAGTGGTTTACAGTAAATTGGCTCAAATTGCACACAAAGTATCTGCAATAATTACAGACAAGCACAACCTGTAACTTTGCCAAGCTGTGAACAATGATGTTCACACGAGTTCCATGAAGAATGAGTAAGGGTTTCTCAGTCGAAGTGCTTGTTTGCTTTCAGCAGCTGGACTGAAATGTGTTCTTCCTAACCCAAGGAAGTAAAGCCTCGGGCGTAGGAGCCACTGAGCTAGTGAGGCTGAGGATTCCATGCTGGGGTGGAACAGAAGGCAATGTGAGGTGCATGGAGCAGAGCAAGGACCAGTAATGATAATTACACACTGCCCCCTGAAAGCACTTCACAACTTAACCTCATCTCTTCACTGTTTATGGGCACAGTTTGCACTCTGTAGTGCAGTTCCTGCCAACACCAAAGCAGTTTCATTTCAGTAAACTGTTAACTCGTTCAAGGCTGAGCACTGGTACAACCATCTAAGAGATGCTGAAGGCTGAGCCATGCTCTGCTCCACTGCAACAGAGATGCTCTGGCCGTTACTGGCCCACTCTCAGTGCCACACTGCAGCAAGCAGCTGGAGACAGGGAAGATGCAGCCACTCACTGTCTGTCCAGGTCTGCCCAAGGTTTGAGGGTTTAATGTCTAACTGCTACGCAGCAGTTGGGATGAGCGTGCCAGTTCAATGTCCCCTGCAGATCTGTGTTACATCTGCTCAACAACTGGACACAGCTCCATATACACCCTGCACTTCACTTATTTAGCCATAACCCTTCTCTGGTTTCAGCCAAAACAGCCAAAGAGCCTGTGGTGACAGGGAGAACTGATCCTGTCTGAGAGCAGTAGCTCTGTGGAACAGCTGGTCTGACTTGCTCCTGAAGGGGAGGCAATCTCTGGATGGTCTCTAAATTCCAACCCAACCCTTGAAATTCTGTGATCCTCTGATCTCTGCTACCTCTTACCTTATTCTTTGACGATTCCAGGGAATGTTCTGCAATACAAAAACAAAAGCAGATGTCACAATTAGGCTGAACTGGTTTAAATAACTGACAACAGGTGTTCTTGCAGCACAGAAGGATTATAAAACTTGCACCCCTTTCGTACGTGTAGTAAAAAATTACTCAATCTTCAAATGAATAGGTATGGGGTAACTGAATGTCTTAATTTTCACAGACTTTCTTTATAACCCTCAAGTGCAATTCTGAAAATAAACTTGGTTTTTTTAAAACATCTATTACATGTATGAAACAAAGTCAAATTTGAAATGATATCAAGACAAAAATGTCTCAATGTTTTTCTACTCACAGCAATAGTTTTGTGCTTGTTACTGAAGAAGGAACCAGGGTCACTGCTACAAGCTACTGTAAAGCCACAACAGTTTTAAGCAGTTTCTTAAATTGCTACTTTAAATCAAAATTCTGCATCCAGCAGAATGCTAAGTTATATCACTCTTCCTGTCTCACCCCAAAAAAAATGTATTTACATCTGTGCTGTGTGAAGTTTTTAGTAACAGGAAGGTACAAACAGACTCAGGAGAAGCAGATAATGGTTTCTGACTTTTGATGATACTGGAATTACCTTGGCAAGCAGGTGAGGAAACCAGGTCTGGCACTCTGATCTAACCTCAGAGGACAGCTGGGGTGCAGGGGAGGGTGACAGCATGACCAGGGGATGCACACTGTCCGCAGGACAGGTACTGGTGGGGAGCAGAAGGCTGAGAGACCTGACCACCCTCTACAACTGCCTAAGCAGAGGCTCTG